TTGCACGCGAGAAAAAAATATTTTTTGGCAAATATTTAAAAAATTTTCAGCACGTCCACTAAGCTACTATTGAAAGTTCGCTTGCAAGGTGAGTGATTACTTTCAACTCGATTGTCATTAGTATTCATATTCTGTAACGTCTTTCAATTTTTTACAGAAAGCAAAGTTCTTTTTTTTTGAAATTTTTAAAAGTTTAAATAAACATTTAGAATAAGTTTGAATGGTGTTTTCAGCATTTCCATATTTTCATAATATTTCGCATTGAAAGTAAAATTCTAAGTTAATAATTATGTAATCTGATCTGCCCGCCAACGGAGCCAACAACAAGTTGTAATTAAAAAAAATAGATTTTTGCTTTCATTTGAACACCAGCACACCGTTTACACTGGACATTGCATGACCAGCGCGCATGCGCAAATGAGCACACTTTAGATTACTTGATCTCTTTAACAACAACAATAATAAGAATGGCAGCAACAAGGCGTTGATTGTAAACAAAACCAACAAACCGCATAAATACCAAACGGAAAGTGAAGCAGAAAAAGTATGTAATAATCGCAAAAAATAATAGCAATAAAAAAAATAATAAATAATAAAAAATTATCAGAAAATATGAAAAAAAAACAACAACAACAAATATATGCTCAAAATGCAATAAACAACAAAAGCGTAGTGCATAGTGCTGCCCCTCGCTGCGGTGTTGTGTAGTGTGTGGTGTAGTTTGGCGTTTATTACTTGCACCGCAAATTAATAGCCGAAAGACAGCAAGCGGCGTGTGGTGGTGGCAAGTAACTTTGGCGATTGAGGTTGTTAGTTCACTGTAGAATGTGTTGTTGTTGAAATAAAATGTCTAGTTTGCTCTTAGCACCCTACTGCTGTCGCATGAAAGCAAAAGTGGAGCAATGAAATGAAAGGTGTGAGAAAACAGATAAATCGTTGAAATGTATTGAAATAAGACAAAAGCAACAAATAAACTGACGATATAAAAATAAACACTTTCTATTTTGATACCCACGTTTAATTGCTACTCATAGAGTGTCCTACAATAAAAAAAAAACATTATTTTTTGTTGAAGAAAATTAAAATAAAATAAAATAAAATTAAATTAAATAAAATTAAATAAAATTAAATAAAATTAAATAAAATAAAATAAAATAAAATAAAATAAAATAAAATAAAATAAAATAAAATAAAATCAATGAATTCAAAAAAAAAAAAAAAAACAAGAAAATAAGAAAAAATAAAGGTATTTTGTGAAGTTTAAAGTAAAAAAAAAATATTTAGCGATTTTCGTGCAGCAATTAACGCCCGCTAAAATGCAATCATTCAATTATGACGCCTGTGAAAAGCCAAAAATAAAGTAAATTTTGATATAAATACTCGCATTGGTATTACCACGTTTAATCTGTGGCAGAAATAAATTAAATAAATAAATTATTCATTTTGGCAGCTAGCAGTCAAAACAAGCTTAGCGTGTTGTTGCCCACTTCCTACGAAGGAGTGTTTCCTATACATATATTTCCCGGCAACTTCTTGCCTTCTTGGAAGTTTCAGCAGCAGTAGCAAAAACAACGCCACACCTGTTTTGTGTTCACAAATTTATACTCAACCACATAATTTTTTAAGCCAATTTAAACACATTTTGTACAAATTTACTACAAAATCAAAGAAGACAAAAAAAAAAACTGTATCAAAATTCACTTAGAATTAAGCGAAATTCAGTATAAAAATTCTGCAAACGAAAATTATTCGAATTATAAAAATTTAATTCTCACAGTTCTTTGTATTTGGCTGAAAAATTTGTAGCGGCAATTATGTCATTGTTGTGTATTATTGTAGATATATTTAAGTGCACGGATTTTCTTTTGTAGCATAAAGTGGCCAACACATGGCTTATTGAGTCAATTATCCAAGTATGTTTGTTTGTAAAAATATTTTAATCAATGTTTTTTGAGTTTTCTCACTTTTCGTAGCAAATTATTTTCATGATTTTACTTTGGGTTAGTTAAATTTGTTTCTTGTTGTTATTATTGCTATGAATGCCATCTCGCAGTGTGCAGCAATTCGTTGTGAACTCAAACACACACCCCCCTATACAAACAAACTCATATCGAATACATTTTGCGGTATTTAACGGAATTAGTCGGGTGTTCTTTAGGTCTTGCTGTCACTCACATACATACACACACACTGTATCAGCCCACGGAATCAAATATTTGCAATTAATATTTCGACTTTTCGACTTGCATTTGGTATGACACCAATTTTCCGCTGTAATTGCGTAGCTTTGTATACCACACAAGCCAGGTTGTGGTCGTAAATAATATTTGTATGAGCGTGGTGAGAAGAAAATTTATCTTTGGCTGACTGATCACTTACAGCTGTGGTACAATCATGCTAATTTGACAATAAATGTCAGGGTAAGGAAATTCGTAAAGTCGTTACTATTTATTTTTAGTCTACAATTTAAAAATGTTTAGTGTGTACACATGAAAATTTCATATTTTTGTGAACTGAATTTTCTGTAGAAATGATTCTTTTAAGTCTCAGAGGCACCTTAAAAATTGTGTTAAAAATAATATGTATGTATATATATTTTTTTAATAGGTTTTTATTATTATTTTTGGCTAAACGAAAAGCAATTACTTAATTAATTTTTTCTAAGAGCAAATAATTCTAAGTCTACATGAACCAATAGTCTGCTAAACTAGGCCTAAAGCGTTAATGCCTCTTGGTGTTCAGTAGCTAAGCTTACGATTATGATCTTTGAGTATAATTGTAGAATTAATTTGTTTTTACAAAAACACTATACAAATTTATAATTATTTTAATGTAGCTCGTTATTTACAACTTGTCTGCCCCGTTTGCCTGCGTGAAACAAAAGACTTAAGAAACGAACTTCCCACCAATATTTTGTGTACTTTAGATATGGATTAAAGCTGCGCAGGAAGGCGAAATTAATAAATAAAAATTTAATTTTTTAAGACAGCAAATACTAATTGATTATTCCTTAATTTTAAATAGGCAACGTTAACTTTTTTCTCGATTGCTATTTAAGATAAAATTTTGAAAATACTTTCAGGCATAATTATTACATAATTTAAAAAATAACCAATTGTAAGGGGAAATTACAGTTTTTTTCCCTGAAAAATTAAATATTCATTTGGAAAATGTCTTCGTCAACTTAGCTCGTCTTTCAGATCATATCAGCATATATTTTAATGGCGGCTGCGAAAACCGAGTGGTTAGTATTACGTAATAATGCCATTCGGACGGCTAAGGCTTGAGCAATGATCCGACCAGCATCCATACAAAAATTTTGAAAAATTAATTATGTGTATTTCTGACATGAAATATAGACTCTTCATAAAAAAACTATCAGCCGTTAGAAGGCGGCACAGAATAAAGTGGACTTCAAGAAGCATAACACAATTTGGGGAAGGAGATTGAGCGAAAAGCGACTTCTTCCTTTGGTACCAAACTTTGGACCGAAGGGAATATTCTACTAATAGTACTTGAAAAAATCGCTAAGAATAAGGACATGTCATGGGTATGACATGGGTATGACATGGGAAAACTAAAACTCAAATAGGTTATACGAGGTTATTGAGTATGGTGAATTGGCTCAAAAGGAGTATCGCTATCGTCATTTCATGAATGCAAGTCTAAGAACCGAATTATGGTTTCGCTTTTCGATAAGATTCAGTTTCCGTAATTTTTGAGGGAAATACATTTTTTTTTTGTAAAAATTCATTTTTCTTATTTATCTGAGTATTTTTCTAGTTTCTATTAATACTGTAATTAGCAGTGCGAGTAGCAAGCGGAAGGTTATGTGTTTGGCTGAACCTCTATCAAAAATTATATCAATATAATTTAAAAAAATAATCTATATATAACTGCATCATTATCGCTCCATTTTTTAACCTTTATTTACATTCATTATTTTACTAATAATTTATTAATGCACTAATTAAGGGTTTATTAAATTAAATTTCATAAAAAAAGTTCAGATAGATTTCAGAAATATGTCGAACAATCACTGGATTTGCAACGGACTCACGAAATCAAAGAGTTTTGAGTAAGTTTCTCAAACAGAAAGATTAAATCATGCACTTTGAAGTATTATCTAAGGTTTCGGCCTTCGAATAGTTGGAAAGCAAAATCTCTTTCGCTTGAGTCCCGTGCGAATGGCTTAATATCTTGGTTTTTCAAATTGTCTCAGATACGGAAAAGTGCCGCTGAGAAAATAATAAAAAATCTTTTACAAAAAATACTGGTGCTGATAAATAAATAATGTAAATAAATATAAAATTTTCTACTTTACCAACTGGAATAATTTTTCTTATATGGGTATATTTAAAAAAAGAGAATTTTTTCCACAAAAAAAAAAAAAATAAATTCGCTTCCAAAAATTCTCTCACACAAACTCGATTTTATTGCTCATTAAAAATGCAGCACAAAAGAATTTTTAACAAGCCAAAGATGAAAGGCGAACATGCGATGCTTTCCACTGCAGTAAAATTGTATTTTATTTTACACTAGAAAAAAATGTACATATGTATACATAAATATTGATATGCTTCTTTTATGTACAAATTATATGTATGTACAAGTATTTTTGCTTTCTGTTTAATATGTCATTAAAGCGAGTTTTTTGTTTTTCACTTTGTCACAATTATTTTCTAATTTTTCCACATCGTACATATACAACTATACATACGTATATTTAAAAGAAAAAAAGAATGGAATCGAATCGAAAGAAATCAATGCAATCAAAGAAAGAAACACGCATTTCACTCTGGCTCTTGGCTTGGCTTTCAATTAGGTTGCGCATGCGTTAGCGTTGGCAGCCAAAGCCTGTTGAGATGACACAGCGTGAACAATCAATGAACTCGCGTCACAATAAAAAATAAAAATAAAAACCAATGCGCGACAAAAACAACAACAGCACCATGAAGACACTGTAGTGAAAAGCAGAAGCATCACTTCACAAATATTACCGTTAGTCGTGGTTAACGCGTGCGCGCCGACTGACTCTCAGACAGATAATAATAGTAATACACGCTGATACAAAATAAAAAAATCGAACTTTTTATTGTATTGTGATTTGCTTGAGAAAACGATGAAAAAACTCGCTTGCGTTGCTGGGCGCACTGTTGTGTTGCTTACACTTCAGAGCTTCGTCGCTGACTAACTGGCTGGCTGCTAAGCGAACGGGTAATTCATGCGCAAAACTAACCGTAAGCGAGCGTAATGATTTTTGTTGCTTTTGCTTTTTCTACAAAAATGTGCGCTGGAATGCTTTTGTTGCTACAACGCACACACACACACGTACATATTAAGTAAATCAGTTGTTTATTGTTTGTTTGCTGTTGTTACTTGCTGCTTGCAATTGCTGATTGCCATTTACCGCTGTCGTTGTTGTTGATGTTTTTGTTGTGACTAAAGCTCTTTCGACAACAACCTGTTCGCTGGAAAATCATGCTTTTTGCTAATATGTATGCATTAACGCTTGTATATGTATGTGTGCTCGTGCTTGTGCTAGCAAGGTGCACGCGGGCGAGCGGCAAAGCAGCCAAAAATCACCTGTGCGATGCTGAGTAGCGACAAGCTAATCGCCGGGTTAAGCTCGCGCTCTATATGAAAGCTTTGGCCACAGTCGCTGCATATTGCAGTTGCGCTTCGGGGACACTCTTCCACTCGTGGCTTACATCAATCGATTGTTCAGTGGAACAAAAAAAAAGGGTACTTGCTGCAGAGGTGAGCTTGTAAATACACTGCATTGCTCTCTGCTAAAGTTGATTTGCTATTTTGGGCTTTGGCGGCTGTCCACGTTTGAGGTCGTTTGTTATGTGGCTTCTAGAAGCTTGGGCAAAGTTGTCAACGAGGAGTTGATAAAAAATCTAAAATTTATTGCATTGATTTTCCGCAATAAGCAACTATTAGTTTTCGTAAAATTTATTAGGCCTAGTTCAAGCCGGTTTTCGATGTTGTAAACCTCTACATTTTATGAGAATGAATTTTTTGGCATAAACTAGTAAATTAAAATTATGAAAATTATAAAAAAATGTTAAAATATTGAGAAATAAAACATAATAGTAACTAAAAAGTTTTTATTTAGCGTAATTATTTTATAGAAACTTATTTGCAAATATCTGAGCGTGCCCTAAATAGGAGCATTTTTACAGTTATATACATGTTTTATACTCTGAACAGCGTTCTTTTGCTGCTAAAAACAAAGTGTTTCTTGTCTTAATTATTTGATGAAAACTTTGTGGAAATTATTTCAAATATTTTAGGGCTTATATAAAATCTGCGTTTATTTGAATAAGAATATGTGGAGGCTTAAGTTTAAAATTGATGCTGATACTTGGAGATAAGCGTAAAGCAATATCCGATAAATACAGATTTTTTTATTTTAGAATATCAAGGAATACCTTTCACTATCGCTAACTAATCAGTGGAAAAAGATGGCCGGGAAGACAGTTTGTCAATCGCCTTTTGAAGATACAAGACTTAGTTCCAAGCCCACTAAATTTTAATGAACTGTGGAGGATATGTCGCTCCAAACGAAAGTAAGCTAAAAATCTGTTTCCCGTTTCGTTTTATACTTCGCTTTCGTTACTTAATTGACCAAACTTTTTCGATAACAATTAAATCTGGTTTTGTAAATACTAAAGCGATTTTCGGCTCCTCCTAAAATTTGTCTTCCAAAAAATGGAGGGACCTACAGTTTATTCTAAGCCCTTTCTGAGCTGCTGATGGTTTTTTTTCATATGAGTAATACCACCGGGGGTGGATCACACATACCAAGGGTGACCGCAATTAAAAAATTAACATAATTTTGTATATATAAGTTTAAAAAAAATTAGTACCCTTTATTTAAGGTATTGCGCTCATGAATTCTTGTCGAAAATTTTCTATTCTTTCCCGCTGTAGAAATTGCGTCAAAAGCTTAACCGACAATCTTTCATTGAATCGATTATGTGACGAATTTTGTACAAATCAGGAATTTACTACGCCATTTATTTACAATAATTGCAAACTTTTAGGATTTCGTAGAACAAAAATCGTCAATAAGCCTTTCTTATGCCTACAAAAGCAATACAAAATCAGTCAATATGCCATAACAACACCCACAACAGCTAGAGGTACCAGCCAAGAGAACCAACAAAAACTTCATGCAAAAACCCAGCAGCTTTGTCAAGTGCAGACAGCAATTTTCACGCTTCAAAGGCGGCATCACATTACATTTAGGTGTCATCTTTTGGTACACCCAAACAAGACTCACCATTGAGGGACTATTAATTACGCCCAGCACGAACGACCGAAGAAGCTGAAAATAGCCATGGCCGACTTAAGAACAAACGAACTAACATATAAGAGCATAACATTGTATGTATATATGTACATACATTAAAAAAGATTGTTTAACATTTAACTTAGCACTTTAACAAAACGATTGTTGTTAAATATTACTAGTTATTTATAGTAGAAATATAACAGAAACAAAAAAAAAAATAAATAAAATGTGAGGAGTAAAGAGTAAAGCAGAGTATGGTGTATCTAAAAGTACTAAACTGACGAGTTGCTTAGTTCAAGGCAGCACACAGCGGGACAGGTTGTTAAACAAACCCATAATTTTATGCTCAAGCTATAACAAACGCACAAACATAAAAATATACAAGCGCATGTACAAGTATTCATAAGCAATATGAGAACTTTTTGTGTTCTTTTCATTTACTATTGCCTACATTTGCACAAACATTTCTATGATTTATTCAAAATATTTGTGTATGCGTTACTTATTGGTAGCTCTTAGGTGCATTATGAGGCGTTTAGGTGTGCTCGCTATTTTGTTTGGGCGCATAATGCGTAGGTGTCGCGAGTTCGCTGCCTGCCAAAAAGGATTTTTGTTGTTGCAAATTTAATTCATTGTTTTCACAACATATAATTGAATAATTAAGCGGATTTATATTGTAAAATATTTTCAATTTCTTGCACGTTTTATTTCAAAGAATGTTCGACAAGGGCGAATCTGTGCAAATATTTGTGGCATGAGTAGGCGGTGACACACCTTCATTTTCCTTCATGCAGATTTCTTTAAATATATTTAATAAAATATTAGATACCTCATTTAATAAAAGAAAAATCAAATAAAATAAAATAAATTAAAATAAAATAAAATAAATAAAATAAAATAAAATAAAATAAAATAAAATAAAATAAAATAAAATAAAATAAAATAAAATAAAATAAAATAAAATAAAATAAAATAAAATAAAATCATTAAAAATAATGTAAATAAAAAATATAGAATATACAAGTAAATTTGAATCAAAGTAAAACGAGCTCTGGTTCTTCAAATTCACATTGTCATTAGCTTAGACGTCATCTGCTGGGTCTATGGCTATGAGATGATATTGAAAGAAATAAAAACTAGTTAAGTTCGATCAAAGAAATGTGAACCAAATAAAAAACAAAACCAAATGAAAAACACGTTTACTTGACATTACGGCACACCGTGACAGTCTCGCATGGACGCTTCAAAAAGAAAAAAAAAAAAAAACAAAAAAAACTCCGTCAGGATGTAAACTCGAAAGTTGTTCACCAAATTCACTATCAATACAAATTTGACTTTTCCTTTCTTACACGACTTACATAAACCGTGACGATCTTTTGCTGTGCCATTTTTCCACTGACCGAACAGAAACATTCACTTTTCACTGTAACGAGTCCAACATCCTGTCAGCGGCTTTTATTTTGGCTTGTCTGGTGGTGGTTTGTGCCGGAGATGTGATCGAGTTAGGCTGTGCATGCGGCAACTGCTTCTCGAAATACCACAAAATGAAAAACACTGCTGGATGGGTATGAGCAGAGAAGCTGTTTGGCCACTTTCATTGCTATTGCTGGCGCTGGTATCCGCCAGCATCACTTCTCGGTGTTGGTTTAACGGAGTTTACTTGTTTAAACAAAAACACTTAACGCGTGCATTTCGCTGCCGACTTCAACGAGCTTTCGGCGCTTAGCCGGATTCCAACAGATCTGCTGCGTCTTGTGAAGCAAGCAACTTGTCAACGAGTCAGTTGGAAATTACAACGCTTTAAAACCTGCTGCCTTGCAATCATAATTGGATTTAGGCAGACAATAAGGGAGCCACTTCAATGCAATTGGCAACTATCTTTTAATTTTCCTCTTCTTCTTCTTCTTCTTCTTCTTCTTCTTGTATTTGCGAAGTAGCTTTTTGTGCTTAAGACAGTTTGCGGTGAAGCATTTGCGTTTAAGTGAGCGACAGAAGTGTGTCATACCTTTCAGGTTGTGCACTGACTGTAAAAGTGACAGTTGAACGGTAGTAAAAATATCATAAATGCAATTTTGATTGGCGTGTGTCATCAAGTCGCATAAATTGAGCGCGGCAAAGCATGGGTCCGAAAGAGGAAAAAGTGAGCGAGAGAGTAAGGAGAGTAATGAGTGAAGAAAGTAATGATGAAACGAAAATTTGTGTACACAGCAACTTCAAGAGCAGACACTTTGGTGGGGTCTTGCTGCTTGCTTTGTAGCAAATAAAGCTGACTGAAATATGGCGGACACTTGGGATCTCACTTGAGATGACAAAAAAAAAAAAAACAAATTATTAATTAAAAAAAGAATAACGTATACCACTCCGAGTGTATTTCGGACATGTCATAAAAAGTCCTTAGAACAGATTGCAGGCCTCTCCATTTGTTGGAACTGCACGGCTGAAATACTCTCCGAGGTTTCTTGTCAATCTGGATTGGATGGATTTTCAAGAGTGTGTCACTGTGAGTTTCTGTTATCGAGTTTTTATAAAATTGCATACCAAAAATCGCAAACATGAAACAGACTGAAAGAAATTACGGGATTAATGAACGGGAATGACATTTTTTAAGGCTTCAATCTCTTTTTCGTCTACCTCATAATAAATATAATAAACCCACATCAACTAGCGTTTTCCAACTCAAAAAAGGTCACGCATCACGGAAAGGTGAAATATCCTCGTGAAAGATGCGGCATGACTGTCTGCATGTCGATCAGGAGGTCATAAACAGCGTGTGTTTGTCTGAGTATCTAACTCCAAATCGGACCAATTTCTTGTCGCAAGTAAAATACCCAGTCAAATGATTTTTTACTCGATTCGGACTCCTGCTCTCTAAAA